AAGCATAATTTTGGTAGAATTAACAAATAATTAATAATACTGGTCGAGCACTGACATACAATTTCGTAAATTTCAATACCTTTAATGATGCACATAACGATAACATAATTTTATACTCTGAGAATATTTCTAAATAGTACCTCATTACAAGTTTTCTTGCTCAATTAAAAAATAAAAACCAAATATAATACGTAATATACAGTAACCAGCTAATCTAAATAAATATAATTTTCAGATGACGTAAGTTAATTACTTTTATAAAGAAAAAAGTTTAATATTAATAACGTTTCAAATTTTCAACTACTTTTTGATGATGGCTATTCAATTTAAAAAAATTGAAAATATAGTTAAAATGTTTTTTGCTATTAAAGAAATTAACGAACTTGAATCCAAGACCTTTCTTCCTTTAGTAAAATTAATTGCTCCCTTTATTGGCTGGAAAAAGCCCAATCTCGATAGTTTTATGATTTTTCAAAAAGATTTTACTGCATGGAATCGAAAAAACAACGATATGGCCAGTAAGCTGTGGCAATGTAATTTCATGTTATGGAAAAACATTAAGGTCCATGAAATAAAACCGATATATAATAAAGTGTCAGAAATTGCAAAAAAGGTTCAAAATATACTATATTGTGCATCCAATTATAACAAACCTTATGTGCCTAATTATTTTTATGAACCCAATTATTTTTCTGTACCTAATTATTATTCATATGAACCTAATTTTTCTGTATATGTACCTAATAATTATTCATATGAACCTAATTTTTATGTGCCTAATTATTCTTATGCTAATGATTATTTTACACCTTTCATTTATACAACTTACACACCTTCACTTTATAATCATTGATTATTTTAATAAATTTGGATGTTAAAGTGTGTAGTAGTTAAAACTACCTCTCGACATTTTTCGGCTTTGTTAATTTTTTTTTTTGTTTTCGTAAAAATTTCACGATTTTATTAAAAATTTACCTAGAAAACAGGGATTCTTGCCCTAACTACTTTAATCTTTACTATACTTAAATCAAATTTTTATTATTTACTAAACTTCATTAATAAAGCTTTTCAAAATTTTATATCAGTACTTTCTAAAGATTAAATAATTTAAATTTTACTATGGTTGGAAAATAGAAATCTGTACGATGTTCTCTTACATTGATCAAGAAAATTAATGAGTATAATTGCGCTAACTACAACTAAGTAGTTCATTTTTTGAGTGAATTTTCTGATGACGACGAAGATTACTGACACTGAAAAGTGTCGACCGCAACCTTCAACTGGACATTTGAATGCTGTTTAAGAAATTTCAAATGGGATTAGAATGAAAATCAATTCATTTTTTATATGAGTTTGCAAAGAACTTGGGCGTGTGAATCTTTTTTGGCAAACATTACATGTATATTTCTTTGAAGTCGACATTCTTTGCGGGCTAGAACTGGATGAACTCTGAATTGGTTTTGAAAATATTTTTTCAACTTAATGAACTTTCAAGTCACATGATCAAGAACAAAGGTAATATTCGCCATCATTTTTCAAATTATAAATGCGAATCACCTATTTTGTATTGTATGTGAGTCTCATCACTAACTTATAGAGTGTGTCCAGAATTCTGCGGTGCATAATTCTGCTCACTCTAAAAATATTTTTTTGTATTGTCTCCTTAAGATAAACGTGACTTTAATCAATTTTTTTAATATTTTTAGAGCGAGCAGAATTATGCACCGCAGAATTCTGGACACTCTAATGTACAAAATTAAAACTTGCATTCATTGAAATATATAGGGTTATTATTTAGCCAAAATTATATAACAATACACTTTGTTGGTTTACGTAAATTATAACGCCATATCGATATCAATATTAATATGGTATTTTCCAATTTATTTAAAGTTACAGTACCGCCAATAAAATTGAGCATAAATGCGATTCTAATTCATTGTTGTTCAAATAACGTAATTTAAATTTTGATTACTAAGAGATTTTCCATCGTTCTACATACAAATTAAAACTTTCACAAATGAAATTTAAAATAGCAATATTCCCAAAATAAGCATGTTTAAAAATAAACTTGAGTATTATTTCTGTAAGAAAAAAGGTGAGGTGACATGTAGCATTTTTGAAAATAAATATTTTTAGTGAAAACCAGTGGTTTCATCGACAATAGTCCTACCTACTGATAAATTCCATAAAACGAGATTCAACTACCGGATTTTTTCTATCACTATTCTACTTTAATTACATAAATATTAAATTTTTTCTAACCTCTTTTTTAAATAAATGATGGAAAATTCGTTTATTTGCGAACTAAAAAAGGCTATTTCATGCCAAACCATTTATTCACTTGATTACAGCGAATTTACAGATTTTGATAATATAAGCCAAAACAAATTTAAAAAAATGTATAAGTGCAAATGGAATAAATGTGATATTACGGTCGTTCATAAGTATCTATACGTTAACAACAATCCTCAAATTGTTCAAGAGGTATCAATATTCCGAAAAACAGATTCCTGAAGAACATAACACACAAAGTTAGCCGGCATTAGCTATAATGCTGGTCGCGATTTTGACCCAAATTCGCGAAAACTTTGTTCTCAAGCATAAAAAAATTATTATTTTTTATTTATAATTATATTTTTTTCTTTAATATTTAGCTTGAAAACTTGCAAAAAGTTAGCTTTCATCAAAATATTATTCGATTTTATGGTGTAACTAAATGTAAGGGAGAATGTTTTTCTTAATACCAATTGATAATAATTAACCTAAATTTTTAATATAAATCAGTGTCCAATGATGATTATTATGTGATTTTACAATATGCGAAGGACAGAAATTTACATCAATTTTTAAAGAATAACTTTTTAAAACTCCAGAAGGCTGATAGGTTACGAATTACTGAAGACATAATATTTGGAATAAAAGTCTTGCATAATTATAATATTATTCATCGAAATTTAGTAAGTAACCTAAAATTAAAAGGTTTCAGTTCGGAGAAAAACTAATTTTTAACCTACTAGTAGAGATTTGACTCGTTATTAACTGAATATAAATTTATTAATAAATCTATTGAATATTCACTGGATTTTATTAATAAATTTAGATTCAGTGAATAACGGGTCACATCTCTACCTACTAGGTTTCAAATTAAAATCAGAGAATTTTAATTTTCTGATTTATAATTCAATGCAGTAAAAATACTAAGTATTAGAAATGTAAATAATTCTGCCTTTATTTATATCGCAGATTATCACACCTTTATGTTATTTTTGAGGATATGGATATAAGAAAGTCATAACTTATAAAATCTTGTATAATTATTAACAACAACTTGCAAATATTCATTTATAATTTTTTCATAGAATTCAAAAAATATTTTGGTTCATGAAGAGAAGATGATAATTGCTTATTCGATTCCAGATCAATCCATTGACAAAATACACATACCTTACTTAGCTCCTGAAGTTTTGCGTACTAAGCAATATACATGTGAGGCAGATATATATTCATTAGGTATTGTTTTATATGAAATAACAACGGGTTTATATCCATACCATAATATTCTGAATGATGTTAATTTGGAGATTAAAATTTGTAATGGTATAAGACCGGAATTTCCAAACACAACGCCAAATTTGATTTCACAAATTATTAGTCATTGTTGGAATGCGGATCCCTCTCGGCGGCCAAATATTGAAGAATTAAAGGAATTAGTTCAGATATTAAAAATATGATCAAAAAATTTAAAAATGAAGTATTTTTGCAAAGAGAATTAGCAAACTTTTTCCAAAACTCAGGAACCAAGATTATTAAAGTGAAGATTTAAATCTAATATGTGCTAATTATAAAAATGCATTTATATATATAATACTTTTTTTATTTTACAATTTATTAATTGAAACAGAATTTTATACAATTTTTACAATAATTAAAATAATACGCTTATTCATTAATTGAAAATATTTATATTTTATGTATTCTTGTATGTTTAAATTAAGTATTGCAATTTTTTTTTTTTTTAGGATTTTTTAAATATAAGCTTAAAATATGAATTTTAGACGCTTTAAAATGTCTTGTTTACAATTTTTACAATTACAACAGACAAATGTAGAAAAGCTTTTGAATGATTTGATTTCATCATATAATAATAAAAAATTCTCCGATACAAAAATAATCGTTGGTGAAGAGGGAAAAATTGAAACAATTTATGCTAATTCTTTTATACTTAAGATACGTTCTGAATATTTTCAAAGTGCCTTTTCAGAAGGCTGGAGTCGAAAGGTAGATGAATATTTTGTTATAAAAAAGCCGAATGCCACACCCGATTCTATGAATATTATTATTAGATTTCTTTATGGCGTAGACTTCAATGCATCACATGATATGAGAACACTTTTGAATACATTTTTGCTCGCGGACGAAATGGGTATCATGGTATTACATGATGAACTGAAGTCATATTTCATCGAAAATATCATAACTATTATGAAAAACAACCCATTATTGATTTTAGAATTTGTTAAGATATTCATTTTGTATGACGATTTGAAAGAATTATTGTTAAAAGCTTTGTGTTTGAATCCGGCGTTATTATTCAATTTCGATAACAAAGAAATTCCTGAAAGTATTCTCTATGAATTAATATCGAGGTCAGAGTTATGTCTGGAAGAAAACTTGTTATTAAGCAGAATTATTCAATGGTTGTTGGATACAAACGGGTTTCCAGATAAGGTATATTTAATAGAATATATAAGGTTCAACCAGATCACTTCTGACGAAATTAATGATATATTTCGTAAATATAAGAGGAAAAATATAAATAATGATATACTTTCTGAAGTGCAAAAATATTACGAAAAATTCAAAGACAATAACTATGATATTCGAGATGGTAATTTTTGCCTCAGATCTGAAATTATAGATTTAGACACAGCCAAAAAATTAATCACATGGATAAGCAGAAAAGAATATTATAATTGTTGGTACAAGTTTAAACTTTTATATAATATGAAGCGTGATGGTTTAAAGTCAGAAACCTTTCATAAAAACTGTGATGGAAAAGGGCCCACAATAGTAATTATTAAATTACTTGATGGAGATTTAATAGGTGGTTATTATCCATTAGACTGGGAAGGTGAAAATGTTTGGAAAAAAACAAGTGATAGTTTTCTATTTCAAAAAAGTCGTCATAACTACAAGAAAGTAAATATTAAACCAGGATCCGAAGAAATGGCCATTAGTTGTAGAAGTGAATACGGTCCAACATTTGGAAGCACCGATTTGTGTATTCAGAATGGTTTGGATTTTTGTATGGTTATAAATTCACATTATGAAAGTTTAAATGTGTCAGGAAGATTTCAGATGGTATCTTACGAGATTTTAAGGGTTATCAAACAAAGATAATATATGTTCTTCAGGCAGATGAATTCCAATGCACTTAGTAGAATCAACTAAAGAAAAGTTCGAAGAAAACTTTAGACAAGAAATTGGAAATGTCTTGACAAAAATCCAAAGCACCCGATTTTTTCAAATTACATTAAATTAGCGAAACATTTCAATGTAATTTTAAGATGTATAGTATAAAGGTTTTCCATTAAGCATTGTAATTTTTTTCTACCTACATCTTTGATTACCGTTTCTTCAAGTAAATGTCATCCCAATTTGTAATATGTTTGACATATCGCTAACATTTACAATTGAAGATGGTGAACAAATTGTTAGAAAATCGAGATTACTATTAGATAAGTGCATTTTATACTCATATATTGAATCAAATAAAACAATTCTAGCATGAAACCAGACATTATTAATGTCTTTGAAAAATTAAATAATGCTGATGATTCTGTAATCGATGAAATAATTTGTAAAATCGAAAAAAAATTTGATACGATAAATGAAACCCAAAAAACAATGACTAGAAAATTGGAAATATATCAATCCAGAGTGATGGTCAATAACAATAATAATCAAATCAAATTTTTAACTTTATTAATTGTAATAATTATATTGCTAATAAATTTAATCAAATAAAACAAATTTATTATTTCTTTTGTGGATTAGAAAAATAAGTTGTCGAATATAATTCTTACATATTTGTTTTGTGAATAAAATAAAACAAATTTATATTTTTTTGTGGATTAGAAAAATAAGTTGTCAAATATAATTCTTACATATTTCTGTATTATGTAAATAAAATAAAACAAAATTAATGAAATTCTAGACAAAAACAATTTCAATTCAAAAAATACAATTCCAGTATTCTTTTTCTTTTCTAAGTTTCAAAATCATTTTCTGCATAAATAATATACGTGTAAAAAGGAGTGTTCAAATTCAAAAATGTTGATAAAATATAAGTGATATGACGGAATAGATAATATTTCGATATTATGATAAATAAATCAATATGCAAAATATCGAAATTATTAAAAAAATATGTAATGGGTGGGTTTTGTGTGAATGGTTTCATAAGCAATTTATGGTTAAGAAAGCAATTGGCCAATTAAATACACGTAATTATTATATTTGTTATGCGGTTTCATAAGCGATTTATAAGAAATTGTAGATAAGAGAAGTGATTGACCAATCAAATACAATTGTACATTCAACTTTACCGGTGATTACATAAATGATTGGATCAAATTTTATGAATTGTTATCATTTATTTTTAATAATCACTGAAATCAAAAAAATCCTCCCATACGCTCCGAGAAATAGAATATATAACATTCAAATACTGCTTATATTTCAAATTCTGCCCAAATTAAACCTAAAATTTATACTCTAAATTTATGTTTAAATTTTGCCCAAATTAAACCCTAATATTTATACTCTAATTTGCCAAAATTATATTCTAATTTTACCTAAATTTATACTCTAATTTTGCTAAATTTATATTCTAATTCTGCCCAAATTTATATTCTAATTTTACCCAAATTTATACTCTAATTTGCCAAATTTATATTCTACTTTTGCCCAAATTTATATTTGAATTCTGCCCAAATTAAACTATAATTTTGCCCAAATTTATATTTGAATTTCATCTAAATTAAACCGAATATTGCCTCTAATTTTACATTCGAATTCTGCCCAAATTGAACCCTAATTTAGCTAAAATTTATAATTCTAACAGAATTAGAGATAAAGTTTGGCAGAATTAGAGTTTAATTTGAGCAGAATTCGAATGTAAAATTAGAGGCAGAATTGGGTTTAATTTAGGTGAAATTCGAATATAAATTTATAGTTTAATTTGGGCAGAATTCAAATATAAATTTGGGCAGAATTAGAATATAAATTTGGCAGAATTATGGGTATAGATTCGGGTAGAATTAATTGGTTCGTAACTCTGGTAAACATAAATTTGGTAGAATCTAACAGATAATTAAATCGTAACTCTGGTACCTTAAGCATAATT